AACTCGATTCCTAGTTTTCCCATATTTGCATCTAGGTTAGTATCTAACCTTTACATCAATAAAATAACTTTATAAGGACATATTATACACTTGGATTAGTGTATAATAGTCTCACCAATCGTTCATATCATTTGGAGAATGAAAAGTAAAGCTTTGGGGTTTAAAACTCACTTTAGAGGATTAAATCCTCTCCTGCGAGGTTGCGTTTTTCTCGGACGATTTGGAAGCCTTCCACAACTCCGATTCCTGCAAACCAGACCTTCACGGATTCCTCGTCTTGAGAGATTTCTGTGGGTATCTCACACGCCTTAATTGGATTTGTAAAACTCGAGATATCGACCAGACAGTCTCAGCACTCTCACAGCTCGAGTTCACAGACCTCTGCTCGTTCCAGCTCGATTTTTGTAAGATAAGCCTTCTCTCCTCGAACAAAGACCACTCAATTGAGATAATAGACTTCAAAGGCTATCCAAGGACATATTATTCACGTTGTTTGGTCGAGTATAGCTTCTATAATGAGAGGAGACAAACAGCACACCAATTTGTGCGAAAATAAGGATGGTGGCCCAAGTTTTGATTCCTATCAAGTCATGTGCAGCTCCCCTCCATTATGGACGGCCAAGGTAGGTCTTCTAACCCATTTTTATTTGTTTTGCAGGTACTAATATCATGTGGAGTGGTTCCCAATTGATCCCAATTAATTTGGGGTCCAAATTATCTACCAATACTTCCAAAAATGGGGGAAATGGGTCCTATTGTTTTATCTTTGTCAAAAGATGTCTTTTTGCACTCATCCTAATTTATTTAGAACAAGTCAACTTCCTAAATCACATTATTGATCTCCAATATGTGTAGGATCATCCCAATAATTTACATGATGAAAATTATAAAAGAATACGGGTTTGAACAATACAATATTCAATCGCGTACTTCGTAAAATATTAATCGTTTCTTCCATTGCTTTGAAATCGGAAATTCAATACATAAACTTTGAATTTTAAATCAAATTTTCAAGGACCTTCGGGAGCGGTGTCACAAAACCAACGGGGCTGAGGCCTCCAATAGGCTCTTGGTTCCCGAGGGTGGTATCATCCTCGAACTAGAGCAAGCCACCGCTGACCTACGTCATCAGCTGCAGAAAAACGCTCCTGATGCCCGCATTGGCCTTGATAATCGAAGGAGGGATCGGAGTGAGAACCAAGTTCCCCCTCCGGCCCCGGCCATCGATCTTCAGGCTGCCTTTGCGGCCTTTGTTCAAAACATGGCTCTCAATTCCGGAGCCCTCGTCTCCCAAGCACCCCTTCAGCCCTATGCTGGAGGAAATGTTATCCAACGTAACTGCCGCCACTCCCTCCTTTGTTCAACAATCCTCCCCCGGGGATTGGCAACGCCGAGGGGGTCATGGCGCAGGATACCGCCTCCTAAGAGGCCCAATCCAGGGATAAACGCCCTGTGATGAAGGAGAAACCCCGAACCTCCGCACTTGAGAGGCTGGGGGGAGCTCCCGGGCACCGAGGGGTCCAAAACCGCCTCGGGAAACAGGAGCTCAGCAGGCCCAGGAAAGTGGAGCCTCCGCTTTGGGTGCCGAGGGCATGCCTCCACCCCGGAGCAAAGGCAAAGCCCTCCTCCATGCCGATGACGCCAGGCACCAAATCAATCAGGCTCAATCCTTCCGGGCCAACTCCCAAGGGGTTGCCCCGAAGGATCCCAAGGACGAAATCATCGAAGCCCTCCTCCGTCAACTTGAGGAGAATCGGCGGGCACCCCCGACAGCTTCCACAGCAAGGCCAGATCCGGAGTACACTGACCTCCGGGCGCAAGTGGAGGAGATGAAGCGCAAACTTGCCGAAGGCTCAGGCGAGCCCCTCATTCAGCTCCGCACTAGGACGCCTTTCACCCCAAGGGTGCTGGCGGCCAAAATCCCCCACAAATATCGGGGGCAACCTATCAAGCCGTATGAGGGGAAGACGGATCCCCAAGAACACTATAGCCGTTATCAAAATAGCATGATGATGATGGGGGCCTCAGATGAATACTTATGCCGTTGGTTCCTTTCCACCTTGGAGGGACCAGCGTATGAGTGGTTCAACCGGTTGCCCGAAGGCAGCATCGATTCTTGGCAAGAACTTGCCCACCGCTTCCTCACACAATTCGCTGGGAGGCATCACTCAAAGAAACACTTCTCCCACCTTCTGAACGTGAGGCAACAGGAGGAAACCCTTCGGAGTTTCCTGGAACGCTGGAGGTCGAGGGCGCCGATGACAGAACCCTGATGGCCCTCTTCCACACCGTCCTCCGCAACGGTAACTTCTCCAGGGGTCTCATCACTGATCCCCCCCGCGATTATACAAAGGCCCTTCAGCGGGGGGACCGATATGCCGAAGCAGAGGAAATCGAGAAGGACCGCCGCAACGCGGATCCTTCTCAGAAGAATGAAGGCAGGAATTGGCCCGGAGGGCCTCCCCCTCCGGCCAACTGAGAGACACAATACAACGATCGCTCCCGAGGTGGCCAAGCCAGACCCGGGGGCGGTTACAAGAATAATCCAAAGGCATGGGCGCAACACGTCCTCCTTGAGCACCCACGCACTCCCCTGACGCATCCCGTCAGCGTCATTTTGGATCACGCAGAAGAGCGAGGGCTCGTGGAGCGAGACTCCCGTACACCCCTCGAGATTTATGCCATCGGCCCTGATGAGCCCTATTGCCGCTTTCACCGCCACCATGGACACAAAACCAACGACTGCCATCAACTGAAAACCGCCATTGAAAGGCTGATACAGGCGGGCCACTTGTCTCAATTTATCAGGGGCCCTCCTCCCCAGGGCCCCCCTCATCATCAAGGGCCTCCGCCGAAGGCGAATAAGTGGGTGAACCCCAACACCATCCCCTTGGGAAACCCACAGGGGAAGAAGCGTGAAATTGAGGGCCTCGATGAAGAGGAAGGAGGCTCCCATCAACAATACAAACGCCACATTCACATGATTAACGGTGGCAACACTGGTGGAGACTCCACCAGTCAGCGAAAGAAGTGGGCTCAATCCCTCTACGTTGGGGAGGTCGACCACATGCCCCCAACTAAGAAGCCGAGGGGGGAACCCATCTTCTTCACAGATGCGGACCTCCCCTCGGGCTCTCTGCCGCATAGGGATGCCCTCGTCATCCGCACTGAGATCAATGACGCCATCATCCTCCGGACTTACGTTGACACGGGGAGTTATGTCAACGTCATGTACCTCAGCACTTTTCAAGAGTTGGGACTCGACAGGGGGTCCCTTCGGCACATTAACACCCCCTCTCCGGATTTACGGGGGACAGCATAGACGCCGAGGGCGTTATCACCCTCAAGGTTGAATTCGGCGACGGATCCCATAGAGCCAAGCTCGAAGTGGAATTCGTCGTCGTCAACCTCGACTGCGCGCACAACATCATCCTCGGCCGGCCTGCCCTCGAGGACTTGGAAGCCGTCATCTCCATGAGGCACCTTTGCCTCAAGTTCCCCACGCCTACCGGCATCGGTTACTCGAGGGGGAATCAGAAGCTCTCCAGGTCCTGCTACCTTCAACTTACCAAGAAGGTTAGTAAAACTGAATTTCGTGTTGACACCATCACCACCAAGGCATTGGAGGAAGAAGAAGGCAGGCCGAGGGCTGAGCCTGCCGAGGAGACAGAAGACTTGATACTCGATCCGGCCAAGCCGGAGAGAGTCCTGAAGATTGGAGCCAAGCTCCCCGAACACCTGAAGGCTGGCATCACCGAAGCCCTCCGCGCCTACTCCATTGTTTTTGCATGGGGGCCGGAGGATATGCCCGGAATTGACCGAAGGGTCATCACCCACCGCCTGGCGGTGGACCCTTCGGCCAAACCGGTACAGCAGCGGAGAAGACCCCTCTCGGCCGAGAGAAGGGAATTCGTGAAGAAGGAGGTGGCCATGCTCCTCTCTATCAAACACATTAAGGAGGTGAAATACCCTTCTTGGTTGGCAAACGTGGTCCTCGCACAGAAGCCCCCTACCTTCCGCATGTGTGTAGACTACACAGACCTGAATAAGGCATGCCCTATGGACCCCTTCCCCCTGCCAAACATTGATCAACTGGTAGATGAGACCGCATGATGCGAAATCATGTCATTCCTCGACGCATTCCGCGGGTATCATCAAATCTATATGCATGAGGGAGACGCGGAAAGAACCGCCTTCATGACACCCGAAGGCATCTTCTACTATCTCGTGATGGCCTTCGGCCTCAAAAACTCAGGTGCCACCTACACCCGCATGGTGGCTAGGGTCTTTCAAGCTGTCCTGGGACGCACTATGGAGGCTTACGTTGACGATATGATCGTCAAGAGCAAGAAGGCATGCACTCACGCCGACGACCTCCGAGATATCTTTGCCATCATGCAAAAGTTCAACCTCCGGCTAAATCCAAAGAAATGCACCTTCGGCGTGCAGGGCGGGAAATTCTTAGGCTACATGGTCAGCCGAAGGGGCATTGAGGCCAACCTCGAGAAAATTCAGGCCATCATCAACATGGAGCCTCCACGCAACGTCAAAGAAGTTCAGCGGTTGACGGGTCGCCTGGCGGCCCTCAACCGCTTCCTCTCCAAATCTGCTGAGAAATCCCTCCCCTTCTTCCAAATCATGAGGAAGACCGCTGGCTTCCAATGGACGTCTGAATGTCAAGAGGCCTTCGACGAACTTAAGAGGTACCTCTCTTCTCCCCCAGTACTCTCCAAGCCTAAGGTGGGGGAGACTCTATACTTATACCTCGGTGTTAGCCCTGCGGCCATCAGCTCAGTACTAATCCGAGAGGAAGACGACATCCAACACGCTATTTTCTACGTCAGCAAAACCCTCCGGGAGGCCGAACTCAGGTATTCTCCCGTCGAGAAGACGGTGCTAGCCATTGTTTGGACCGTCAAGAAGCTTGGCCACTACTTTCAAGCTCATCCGGTCCAAGTGCTCACACATCAACCCTTCGGCGCCCTCATGAGGAGTCCCACTAGCTCCTCCCGGATGGTGAAGTGGGCCATCTTCCTCAGTCAATACAACATAGATATCCGTCCGAGGCCTGCCATCAAGGGCCAAGCCCTGGCAGACTTCGTAACGGAATGCACCGCGAGATCACCAGTGGATGAAGAGCCTTCGGCGCCTCTTGATGAATGGTGGACACTCTACACCGATGGCTCCTCGGCCGCCAAAGCATGCGGAGGAGGGGTGGTTCTTATCACACCTCTTTTCCAGGCACTTTCGCTTGTTAAATCGTACCCGACCGGGTAAGTGTCCATGGGCAGCATTCCTCTTGTTTTTGCTCCTTTTCCTTGCCAAAACTTCTACCACTACTTTACAACTTATAAATGGAAGCTAAAAACAATTACAAACCAAATAAAACAAATGTTTACAAACTAATAAAAATGGTAAACAATACACACAAATCAAACATAAAAATATACATTTATGCACTACTAATTAGTGCATATCAACCAACATCAGATCATCTGGCGGGGCTGGAGTCCAGCGCCTGCCCCAACCCCGTTTTTTGGGGAATGTAGCGCCATACCATCCTTTGCAGCATCCTCCCTGGTCTTGTCCTCCCAAGTGCGTCTTCTCTTCAGCTCTCCTGACACTCCTTCCTCTTGTGTGTCACCTGAGTTCATAGAATTCCACATTCCAGCTTGAGTGCTCTCTCCCGCCCCATCCGAGTGCATCTCCTGCATTAACCTCACGAAGCTTGATGCGTGCTTGCCACCTCCTGAGGAGCTCCCTTCCGAAATTAGCCATTTGCTACCCATATTTGACCATGATTTCCGTCCACTCGCTCTCCATACTTGACGGTAATACTGCCCACCTGCTCGTTTTCTTGGACTCGCTCTTTCCTACAACATCCGCCTTCTTCCTCTTCCATTGCTCTGCCGCTACGCTCGATCGATTCTTAAAACCGATGCCAAGGAGGCATCAAACTAACTGCGCCGCACAAAGTTGGCGGAGAAAAACCCCACAATAATTATTTTTTTAGAGACCTTGAACCACACAATAATTTTTTTTAATGTGACATCCTAAAAGCAAATTCTTTAGAGGCTAGACTTGATTGTAGAAGGATGTCACATTTAGAAGAATTTGCTTTTAAAAAAATTAAGTTGCTAGACGATTATTAGTCTTTTACTATTATTTTTATTAGATTTACTATTATTATTACTATTATTATTATTATTATTATTATTTTACTATTATTTTAATAATAATAATAGTAGTAATAATGGTAATTCTAATTAAAATAATAGTAAAAGACTATAATAATTGTCTAGCAACTTCATTTTTTTAAAAGGCAAATTCTTCTAAATGTGACATCCTTCTACAATCAAGTCCAGCCTCTAAAGAATTTGCTTTAGGATGTCACATTTAAAAAAAAAAATTATTCTGCGGTTTAAGGCATCAAAAACCTGATAAATACAAAGTGTGTGTGTTGTCAGCAATGAATGTTATCCATATCCATACCTAAGAACAACAACATAGACGATGTTTTAATTCAAGAAGGAATAGTGCCGAGTAATTTGTGTAGAAGCAAGACCAAGATACTTATCTGGAAAATCATTTACCCTTATAAGTTTCGATTATCAGTGGATGCGGCTTTTGTTGATTGTAGAAGTTCATGTGGGGCGATTCTGAGAGATGAAACAAGGGAGATGGTGGCGTCCTTTTTCTCTCCAATGAAGGTTCGAACAGTCCTCCAAGCGGAAACTCAAGCGGCATACATGGCTTTAGATTGGTGCTCTAGATTGGGATATTCCGACCTCCAGCTAGAATCTGACTCATAGATGGTGTTGAATATCTTAACGCAAAGGTTTTCTTCGTTGATCTATCTTCAGAGTACGGTTGAGGCAACTCGACGATTGTGTACGTTTTTCAACATTCAGATCAGACATATTTTTAAAGAATGCAACTATGTTGCTCATTATCTGGCACAAGGACTTCATAATGCTGTTTTTAGAAACTTTATCTACCCCAGTAATCTACCGCATTTTATCAGATCTTAATGTACTTATTTAATAAAAGATGGTAAATGTTTCCTGACAAATATATATATATATATATATATATATATATATATATATATTATATAAGTTGTTCGGTGTTCGGTTTACGGTTTTTCTGGTTTTAAACCAAACCAAACCAAACCATTCAGTTTGAGCGAATTTTTACCAAACAGTTTACTTAAGTGAACTCAAACCAAACCAAACCACCAATTTTCGGTTCGGTTCGATTAAACCAAACCATTTTGCCCACCCCTAGTAGGCTAGTAAAAAGCATAAATAAAACTTGAGGAATGATACTTTTTCAATGCCTAATTATTTTAAATATTAAAATTATATTAAAATACTCCTTATTAATTAAAATCATTGTTAAGACTTTGTCATCATTGACCAAAAGAAAGTTAACATTGCAAACCTTTTGGAGATAGAGGTAGTACTTCCTACATGGTATTCCCTTCGTTCCACAAAGTCCTTCTCACTTATTTTTTGGGATATCATAAACATTCTCTTCATTTGTCTTTTGGAAAGTATTGTGTAGGTAATATTCTTTTACTTTTCTTAACGAATCACAACTATACATTCTCACTTTGTTCCCACTTTCTTAAACTTTGATCATATCCAAGCTAAGTTGGGAAAAATTTCATGAGCTAGAGATATTATTATTTTAGCCATCAAACTAATAAATCTATAAATAATTACATACATATAATTACAATAATTATTATTTTTTAAATGTGACATCATAAAGCAAATTCTTTAGAGGCTGGACTTGATTGTAGAAGGATGTCACATTTAGAAGAATTTGCTTTTAAGAAAAAATGAAGTTGCAAGACGATCATTATAGTCTTTTACTATTACTTTTATTAGAATTACTATTACTATTACTATTATTATTATTATTATTATTATTATTTTACTATCATCATCATCAAAGCATTGATGTATGATGATGAAAGCAATGATTTAATTAAAAAAATTGGGCAGTACGTGTGAGTATACACGATAGTATATACTTTGTATTGGTAGTGCTAAATTGCATAGAAGAGTAGATTGACGGAATGAGTATTTTAATGAGAAAATCCACTTTTCCACAAAAAAAAAGAGAAAATCCACTGAATTAGATTATTTTGTTTTATTCCCATAGTACTATTTTGAAAAGTTGTAATGGCTTATTCTTCCACTAAGAATATAACTCATTTGGTAATACTCAAATCGGCTATAATAATTATGCTAAATTTTATGAAATTCTGACTGATTGATTCTGTTGATATATGTGACTCATGTGAGGAACTGAGGATATAGGGCCCGCAAACCAGGCTTCACAGCACACTGGTGCGAGAATAGACTCTTGGGTGGGCATCAAGGATTCATTACGTTTGGAAGTGGAGGTGTTTGAATTAATTCTTAAAAGTGCTTCATCTATCTGAAGGACCAGAAGCAGAAATTGAAGTGTTCGCGTAAAAGTGCAGAAGTAATTTTGGTGTTCTAATTTACTCATAGAATCGCTTTTTAGAAGCTGGGAGAGCAGCTTCCGAAAATTGATTCTGATTCTGCTTTTAAAAAGGAACAGAAGCGGAATCAGTTCCAAACACCCCTCAATAGATTTTGAAAAATCACTCAAACTAAAAGCAAGAGCACGTTTCGTGATCATGTTTTCAGTTCATCAATTTTATTAGTTAACATTTTCATCAAACACATAATTTTTAATTTTGCATGTTGGATTGTGTAATAAGGAATAATAAGAAAAAGTGAGGTTGAAGTTATTTATCTAGTTGTATTGTCTGAAATTGCTGTGGAGAATCATTTTAGCTATTTTTTATACTATGAAGTATAGTTTTTTGTGTTTAAATACTAAAATACATTTTAAATAAAATTTTTCTGTAAATCAACATAATCAGCCAATCCAGTAATTTCAACCAAACTCTCATAAATTTTAGCGGAATCAACCAATGCAGTCGATTTGAGTGTTACCAAATGGGCCCTAAAACATAATTTTCTTTCAAAAACAGGATAATATATTTAGAGCTCATTTTGGTGGTCATGTTTTTCGACTTATGAAACTTATCAGACAATTCTTTCACCAAACGCGTAACTTTTGATTTCACGCTCTGAACTTTTCAATAATATTATAATAATAGAAAGTAAGATTGAAGTTACTTTTCTGGTTGTATTGACTGAAGTTAGTGCAGAAGATTATTTTAGCTATTTTTCATATAATTTTTTAAATTTATTATAAAATATATTTTAAATAATTTATTTACATAAATCCGCAGAATCAGCCCATCCAGTCAATCCAGCCAAAACTACATAAGTTTTAGCAGAATCATCCGATTAAGCCAATTTTGATATTACTAAACGGGCTCTTAAGTTTCCTTATATAAGACTAATTATTTCCTTTGTACTTATTATTTTATTAATTATTTAATCTAATTAATTGTTCCTAGTTTCCTTGAATATACAACTTATTCTGTTGGTAATGGGATTATTCCATGGTGGCAGCGGTAGATTTCGAGCGATGGTGTCACAATCTTGGCAGGTCGGCGGAAAAATCCAAGGAAAATATTCCGACGGTCGGCTATTAGGCGATTTGGGGGTAGTCGTGATCTAGCATTGTGGCCGTGTTTGGAAAATGGCGGATCAGCCAAAAATTGGCTGGTTTGACCAAGTTTGGCGGTTTTGATCTTTGAAAACGCTGATTTTAAGTGTTTGGTAGATAGCGGGATGCTTTAGCGTTTTGGGCCGAAACGCCAAAATAGAAAACGCTGCAAAGTGTAGCGTTTAGTTACGGCGTTTTAAAATTCGTAGTTCACTTCTCAAACTTGCCCTTCTCACCGCTCCTATATCATAGCCGCTGTAGAACTCGAAATCCTTAATCCCTGCTACAGAGATCCAAATTTATGGCCGCTGCAGACCAATATCGCTGCTCAAGGTTTATTTCGAAGGCAAATTTACTTGTTATTTTTTGCCACGACATAACACCTCTTACACATGTGAGCAACTACGTATATATATGTGGGATGAGGTGTCCAACAATCTATGATGTTTCATCTCTCTTGCATTAAGCAAAAAGTATGATTCATCATAGGTGTGTCTACGTGTATCATGGATATGTGTCGCTAGGTGTTTGTATGTGTGTGACCTATGGCATAGAAAGTAATCCACAGCTTTTTCATCATAGAGGTTTGGTTTTTCACTTTTTGTTGTTATATTCATTTTTCAATTTAGCTATTTATATAAAAAGAGATCTGATAAATTGTAAGTTCAAAATGTATAATTTATATTGCGCATATAGAAGTGCACCACATCTGCTATAGAAACTTTGTTTTTAAACATTTACATATTTTGTATTGGTCTAGTGAGCTCATGAATTTTAGTTATTATTATTATTATTATTATTATTATTATTATTATTATTATTATTATTATTATTATTATTATTATTATTATTATTATTATTATTATTATTATTATTATTATTATTATTATTATTATTATTATTATTATTATTATTATTATTATTATTATTATTATTATTATTATGTTTTTATTTAGTTAAATTTTAAATCATTCATTAATTTACACATACGAGTATATTTCAAAATACGTAGTACTCCACTACTCTGTATTAAGCAACAAAATACACATTAATTTATTAATGCCCTTTTTGTCTTTTTAGCTACTAACCGCTATAAACAAACAGTTAAGTTACCAAATATCTTTTTGCAACCCGCTGAATCAATCCGCTGGTCAAATCCGCTGACTCAATCCGCTATTTTCAATCCGCTAACATTATCCGCTAACTGCTAACCGTCAACCGCCAATTGCCAACCGCTAACATTAAGTTGCTAGACGATTATTAGTCTTTTACTATTATTTTTATTAGATTTACTATTATTATTACTATTATTACTATTAGATTTATGAGTATTTTGCTCAATCACAAATAAAAAGTCATATTTTAAATTAGTTGGTCAAATTTTCAGAAAAAAGCTACGTTTTCTATTTATTTATTTATTTATTTATTTATTTATTTATTTATTTATTATATATAGATATTAAAACAAATAGCTCCTTAAATGACAACTTTAAACTTAATCAATTCCTATGTGTTGCTAAACTCAATTCACTCATTTTCTATAAGAATGCCATGTCACCTCTTTTCCCTTCAAATGTACCCAGCAACAAAGGAAAGGATAGCCTAATTTCTTATCATTCTATGATTCTACGTATCCGGGCTTTTTCTCAAAACTGGTTTATGGCTAGACTGAAAAACATCAATAAAACTATTCCTGAGATGCTGATTGAGGAACATCTGGTTCCCAAATCCTTTAAAGCCATAAATCCTAAAATTCAGATTGTTCGATGGGAATTACCTGGGTTGGCTTTCAAATTAAACGTGGATGCTTCCTTTTCTGAAGTTAGGTCTGCGGGTGGTGCGGTGTTGCGATCCCAGACCGGGGAGTTTTCAGCTGGTTGTCACTTCCCATTAGATGCAAACTCCCAAATGAAGCGGAGCTTATGGCGCTACATTCTGCTGTCTCTTGGGCCATTGAACTCGGGCATAGTAGCTTTGAGGCTGAAACGGATTCATAGATGGTAATCTCTATGCTGTCAGATAGTTGTTTAGGTGGTCGATGGAGGAAGATGGTGGAAGATTTGAAGCAGTGGTCAGATGAGGGGTTGGTTGTGTTCAGACACGTTTATCGAGAAGCAAATTGGTCTGCCCATTTCATGTCGAGGTGCTTTCCTGATGGGGAGGAGTTTATTTCCTATTTTTGTTCTGCTGAGCTTCCTAATCGGGTTCATAAATCAATTTTAATACTCCCTCCGTCCCAAAATTATCTTCATAGTTACTATTCACATGGTCAACTCAAATTACTCTTAATCTTTTACTTTATATATCAAATTTTTATCAAACTTAAATTTTCTTGATCAGGCTTTGTAGCGGTTTTAATGTAGTTTCTGAATATGTAAATTTTATTTACTAAAAATAATCCGAGTGTGAACAGGGATCGAGTTGCTTTATCGTCAGTCAAGCATCGTAAACCGAACTATGAAGATAAATATGGGACGGAGGTAGTAGATAAATTAAGACTTGCTTACATTAGATATTGTTAACTTTCTTGGCATTTATTTTGGTTTTGGCATGGGTAAGGTTTGGTCCCCCATGTCTATTGCAGTTTTTTGTTTCAACAACAAAGGAAAGGAAGAGAGTTTGGCAAAATATACCGTACACATGATTATACGGTCCTCACCGTACAACCGGATATTTTTTGCAATTATTCACAATTCAGATGACAATTAGATGCTTAGCTTGCTAGTAGCAACCATATATAAGTATATAACACTTAATTATATGGCAATTATATGACTCATTTAGATGTTTGCGATGAGGATTCCAAGCTCCATTAAAGATGAGGAAATTTGCAGACAGAATTACTATAGTAGTTCAGCACTGGGAAAGGTCAGCAGAAATGACGGGAGTAACAACTTGATAGGAGGAGTAATTCAAATCTTAATATAGCTCTTAATTCCTTCACAAGTTTTCGATTTGGGAATTCAAGACCCCTCTTCACGGCCAGACACTTCGTCTGGATCGTGTTGTCATTAATTTTTTTCATCGATTCGTTATTGTCATTTTTTATAATCGTGTCATCTTTTATTATAAGGGGTCCACACCATGCACCGATTCAGCTCTGATACCATGTAAGTCATGTGCCAGATCAAATACGCTCTTCAATCTTTTGTTTCTCATTTTGATTTTCAGAAGCATGTTGAAGATCACTCACACCAATCCCTTGGAAATACACCTGTTACAAGTCAGCTTATTCAAGTCAAATTCAGCGGGTGGAAGTACTCTAAGCTCAAGCTTTGCATCCTCCCGTGGACAGTTTGCGTGATCTTGATTCTTGATATCCTATCAATGTGTGTTCTTGGAAATGAGTATGTTGGGATATATTATCCCGGCCTATTACTGTTCAGGAGCCCAAGACATTATTCAGTACGGAGCCCGAGCAGCTAGGCCCATTTCGGCCCATCCGGCCCACTTTAGCCGTTTGGACCCACTCCGGCCCATGCGGCCCATTAGGGTGGAGAGCATCCCCTTCCCCTATTCTCTATAAATATGGGAGTTTCCCTCCATATTATGGATCTTTTTCCTTCTTCCCCAACCCATTTACTCTCTCCAGAATAGCTTGCAAGACTCCATTAATGGGAGCTCAAATTGTACTATGTAATGGTGAGGAGAGTCCTAATGAGAAAGAGAGGGCTTGGACATTAGCCTAAAAAGTCCCGTGGTTTTCTCCCTTTCGGGTTTCCACGTAAAAACTGAGTGTTCATACATATATTTACTATATCGTGTTGGATTAAACTCAACAGAGTACTTCAATAATCTTGATCCCTTCCTTGATTTATCGTTTTAATATTCCTACAATTAGGCTGATTATCTCGACAGAGCTCAACTTCAGACCACATGGCAAAACAATCGGACGTCACACTTTCTCGACCATATAGTGTCTGATCGAACCGCCTCAGACAGGAAAAAGCAAAACATGATCATACTTTTGTAGCGAGATCTAGATACCCTCTCAGTGAAAACTATATCTTCAAGGTGATACCACCTAAAAAAGTCTTGCGCGTCTAACATGAGAGACTAAAGGGACATCTCAAACCCCGTACCTTGGTGCAATATGGCAATACAATACTGGCCAATAGGGAGCCACAATATCATCTTTAAACTGCGACTTCCCAAAGGACAGCCATTTAGCATCCCCTCGTCTCTCATACGCTATGAAATACAAATCACTTGAGCGTAGCGCAAACAATAGTTCATCATTAGTAAAACAGACTCTTTTACTGAGGAGAAAAAGCCCGACTTCAAGTACACTGGGAACATCACATACAGGGTTGAGCACTCCATATTTAAGCCTTTTAAAACCCTTGGAACCCATGTAATCTATAGACAAATTTTTGTCACTAGCCCAGTCACGAATCGAGCGTATAACTCTCAAATAACTTTTTATAGCCGCAGTGATGTTATCTACATCAATGTAAATATTGTGAGAATTGGGAAGGCAACTCTTAGATCCAAATGTTTTGAGTATAGATCACAAAAAAGTACATAAGAGGTGAGTGCTTTACGCTTGAACATCATCAATTTATATTCACAAAATCCACAACTATTTCTCTTAATATGCTCTAACTGACTAACTCATAAGATGGAGGAAGGGCTTCTCATCAGTCATCGCTAGATTAACATTAAAAACCTTGATCACGGTAGCGGACTCCATAGAAATAGCTTTCCAGGTGATACAAACACCCCGTAATATATATTTTGTGTAGATTCTTAGTTTAGCAATTGGCCGAAACTTAATCGGATGATTTATAAGAAATCTTCAAAGAGCGTCTCTATGTGCTCGATACGTCAGACACAACTCTTCAATTTCAATGTGACCTTTTATAATGGAACCCTAGATCTTAACATGGTATCAGAGCCAAATTAATCAATTGTGTGACCTTTTATGATGGAACCCCTAGATCTTAACATTCTCTCTAATATGTAGTGCTTTTAGTTATAATAAGGTAAACCGGCTAAAAATTGAACGAGGGGGCTTTCTCTCTCATATGTAAGGATTTTAGGTATAAAATGATAAGCTTGCTAATAATATAGTTGAGCGGCGAACTTTTTCTCTCATATGTAGTTTTTCTAATTATAAGATAGTCTTGCTAGCTAACCATTTAGCGGGAAATGTTTTTTTCTCATATGTAGTGGTTTTAGGAATAACATAAACCGGCTAACAATTGAATGGGAGAATTATATTTTTTTCTCTCACATGTAATGTTTCTAGATATAACAAGATAAGTTTGCTAATAATTGAGCGGTCAAATTTTCTCTCTCCTATGTAGTCTCTTATGTATTAGAAGATAAACTTGCTAACAATTGAGCAAGTATCTTATCATATAAGTAGTTCTTTTAATAAGTATAAGATAAGCCGGCTAACAATTAAGCAGTAGAATTTTATCTCTCATATGTAGTACTTTTGGGTATAAATTAATCCAGCTAACAATTGAATGGAAAATTTTCTCTCATATGTAGTTGTTTTTTGTATATGATATGCTGACTAAGAATTAAACAAGATAATTTTCTTTCTCATATGCTAATGAGTAGCAAGTTACAGAGTATGATTTAACTAATACATAGTATTTGTTAAAAAATTGGTTAACTAATTTAACTAATGACTAGCAAGTTACGGAGTATTATTTAACTAATATGTAGTATTAGTATCAGTATTCGTTAAATTCAATATTTAATGGATTCAATTTTTTAGAATAATACTTAATTTACAAATTAATTTAATCATGAAACTAATAAGTACAAATTCTAATGAGTGGTATTAATTAATTTTTCCTAATATACTCTTCATTGAATATCTATTGTATGAGTTTAAACTTTATGATATTAGCTTATTGTATTCTTATTTTTTGAAAATGTAGAATCCTACAAAGTTATTTTTATCTTAATATTTAATTATATAATAAGTAAAAATATATGCATCCGAGTAATCCGTGCATAATTAAAATAAAGCTCCCATTGATTTTTGCATACTCCACATGTCTGTATCCGAGTAATCCGACTATTCACATGAGGAAAAAGGTTAACTTTTTTCGAGTTGTTGCACATTAAATATCATACATTCATACAGAGTATAACATATCTTTTTTACTCAAGTTATAACTTTCCTTTGTTGTCAAGTCACACTAATATTGTTGAGGTTTATGCAAATGAGAAAGAAATAACAAGGGCCACAAATTAGTTGATTAAAACGAAAAGTGATAAAGTTTTTGAGACATCCTAAAAAAATTGTGGGACCTAAAGATAAACTCATTTACTCAAGTTCTAACTTTCCTTTGTTGTCAAGTCCACACTAATGTTGTGCAGGTTTATGCAAATGAGAAAGAAATAACAGGGGCCACAAATTAGTTGATTAAAACAAAAAGTGATAAAGTTTTTGAGACATCCTAAAAAGAAAAGGGACGAGGAGAGTATGTTTTCAATATTGGGATCGAACTATCCCAAATTTTAGAAGTATTTATATTTTATGTATAATTTTTTTTTTGCAAATGTTGTTTATATCTATTCATCCCAACTTCTACTCGGCCCCATATATACATGAACTGTGGCTGATTTTTGAGCATGTTAAATCAGTTCTACATGTCCATCATTTTCCTCATTAGTTCTTTTAATTCTCTTTTATTCAAATTGCATGAGTAACGAGTTGAATTAATTTATTTTAGCAAAAATTGATAGTAATAATCCCAACTATTGGTGGTCCGCTTATAATAATCCCAACTATTGATTATTTTAGAATAATCCCAACTTTAGGGACCATCCGCCAATAATGGTCCATGATCAGATTTAACTCCTATAAAAAGTGAATTTTAAATAGAAATTAAGTGTAAAAATTAAAAGGTGGGATTATTTATAGGCATTACTTGCTATATCTCTTCTCATGCACTTTAGAAACTACGAGAATTTATTCTTAGGGACCATTATTGGCGGAAGGTCCCTAAAGTTGGGATTATTCTGAAATAATCAATAGTTGGGATTATTATAAACGGACCGCCAATAGTTGGGATTATTACTATCAATTTTTCCTTTATTTTAAGTATTAAGTGACTTGTAGTAAATTTTGAGTTGTATTGTTTAAGTATATTCAATTTATTTGAGCACAAGCATTTGGATTGAGAATACCTTTTAGTTTTCTATATTAACGTGGAGGTTCAATTTTGCATTTGAAACCAAAACCTATCAAGTCTTTAGATGACCTTGACATAACCTCTTCCTTTAAATAGTAGGCAAACCCCCCATTCATGACAAGCATGCTTTAGGCTTTGTTTGCAACCACTTGTGCTTAAATAAAAGCACTTTTTGGGAAAAAGTGATTAGTAGTAAAAGTTGGTAGTGTTTGGTAAATTAAGTGCTTTTTGTGTAATAGAAAAAGTAAAAAGTAGATTCTACACGAAAATCGAGATAGTAAAAGTTGGTAGTGTTTGGTAAAATAAGTACTTTTTTCTTTAAAAAAAGCCAAAAGCACTTATTAACAGAGATTGCAAACAGAGCCTTATTTACGCATAAAACACTAAATCACAGAGAACATGCTAAGTATTTGGTACATTCGTATCTTGTTGTATGTTCTTTTGTTTGAAGCGTATTACATCCCGTAG